AGACAACCCTCAAAAGGGTGGTACTCTAGGATACCGCCTGACTCAGGGGGTTCGTCTCTCTGCGGATTCTACGCGCAGCTCAGGCAGCCTTTCAGCAGCTACTGCTTGCCATGATTTGCAGAAGGTTAGCCTCTGCTTTTGGCTTTTTCTTTTTCTCGTTTCAGCTTTTCTCTGCTTGTTTTGTTGCTGCTTTCTTGTTTTACTTATTATTATACTTTATGGTTTTTATTGTTAACTTCTTTTGTTAACTCCCACTTTGGCTGACTCTTTTTTTCTGCTTTTCTTGCAGCTTGTTATGTCTGTGGGGGATTTGTCCAATGCCTTGCTGTTAGTGGAGAAGGAATATCAGAACCAGGGTATAACTCTTTCCCAAAAGACTCTGGAGGTTCAGCAGGATCAAGCTGAGAGGGATGTTATGGCCAATGAGGTGACTCCGCTGAGGGAGAAGGAGGATGCCTTGCAGCTCCAATTGGGAGAATTTCAGCTCACTCAGACCAAGCTGAAGGACTGCGAGGAACAGTTGGGGACTTCTCAGGCCAGGGTAAAGACGTTAGAGGCGGAGGTGGCAGATTTACAGGCTGCGCATGTTGTTGCGCTGGAGGCTGCTAGGAGAGAGGCTCTCAAGTCTTTTGTGCTCTCTCCTGTTTTTGCTAAGCTCCTGGCTGATCGCCATGATGGAGGATGGGAAGCTACGGCTCGATGCGTTAGTAGCTTGTATGGTGAGGGTGAAGAGCAGCAGACTCGCTTTAATGCCTTCTGGGCTAAGGTTAAAGCTGCTGGTGAGGCTGGTTTGTTCGATCTTCCCGCTGATCACCCTCGCGCTGCTGGCTGCAAGATCCCCAACTAGGCCGTGCTGAACTTGGAGGTGCCTCTCTGCCCTGACGTTACTGCAACTATTGGAGTGGAGTCTCTGGCTGATGATCAATAAAGGTTATGGCGGCTGTCACCCTCCTACTCCAGTGGTTCCTCTGAGTTTCCCTCACCCAGATTTGTTGTAACTAGGTAGTTTTTGTTACTATCTTTGGGGTGTATAGCTGCCAAAGATTATGTTTCTCTGTGTATTTTCAGAATACTTTTTCTTTCGTTGCTGGGTTTGTCCAGCTTAACATGAATTTGTGATCTTCTAACTTTACCCGCTGAGTGTTTCCTTGTCCTGGTGGATGAGGGCTCAACTTTATTTGTTCTGTGACTGACCTGCTGAATGTTTACTCTGCCTTGGTGGGCAGGGGTTCAGCCTTATAATGTATGTTCCTTATGATCTCCTCTTGTTGCTTTTCTTGCTGTTTACTTCATTGTTTGCATGCTTGCTCTTTATTACGTTTGGTGGGGCCTCGTAGGTTGGGCCTTCCTGTCTTTTTAATTTAGCAGCCTAGCGCTTTTCTGTTTCTTTTGCGCTCTGCTGTGCTTCAGCAGGGACTTTGTTACATTTTGTCCTTCCTGCTTTATTTGCTTCAAGTGTTTACGCGTTGTGTACGTCACTTGGCTTTGACCAAAGGCTTCGTCTGCGTGCTGGTTGACAAATTTGATTGAGCGTTATTTGACTTATCCTTGCCGAGACTTGTTTGTGTCGATCAGCTTTTTGCTTATTTCATCTGTGTCATCAGCTTGCTTTGCTGTGACTTATTTGTGTCGTTCAGCTTATCTATGTTGCGACTTGTTTATGTCGTTCAGCTTGTTTGTGCTGCGACTTATTTATGTCATTCAACTTGTTTATGCTACGACTTATTTATGTCATTCAGCTTGTTTACTGCATGCTTACTTCATTCAGCTTGTAAGGGCTTACTGCTTGACTGTCTTCTCCTTTCCTCCCCCCCTTGAACAGATGGGCTGAATGGGACTAAGAGAACCTTAGTGCTGCCCATGTAGCTTATCTTCTTCTTTTCCTCTCTTCTCCCCTGCTCAAGCTGAACGTGTCAGGCTCCCCCTTAGGCGTCCCCGAGTGGTGCCCTGTTTTTCTTTTTGCAGGTGAAGTGAGGTTTTAAGGAGGGATGCTTTCACTTTGTCATTTTGCGCTAGAGTGCTTCTTGCCTCTAACACTTTATTATTATTCTTGTTTGATTTTTGCATGTTAGTATATGATGCTTGGGAATACTATATTAAACAAATTTATGCAACATACTCCTCACGCAGAGGCTTATATTTCATTGAATAAAAAATGGCTCAAATGCCTTAGTTAACATAACATGGACTGAATAAAGGTTTATCGATTTGAAACAGCTATGTTTCAAGCTATTTAAACAAAATATTTCTTTAATACATCAGCATTGAAACTGTTTCTTAAGACTTGACCTTCTTGATCTGCAAGGAGGAACGCGCCTGGTCCAACATGTTTGTGCATGATGAAAGGGCCTTCCCAGTTTGCTGACAGCTTTCCATGTTGATTTCCTCTTCCAACTGCTGCTGTCCTTCTGAGGACTAAGTCTCCTGGCAGGAGCTCCCTGTGCTTGACCCTTTTGTTGAAAGCTTTTGAGATCCTGCTCTTTTGGGCTGCCAGCTTAAAGGCTGCTTTTAGCCTTACTTTTGGCAGGAAGTCTAGCTCTTCCATCATGCGCTTTTCATTTCCTTGTTGTTCATAGTGCTGTATCCTCAGGCTGGGGATTTGCACTTCCACAGGGACAACTGCATCAACCCCGCAGGCCAGGATGAAAGGGCTTTTACCGATTGACTCCTTCTCAGTGGTCGTATTTGCCCACAAGACCTCTGGGACTAAGTCTGCCCACATGCCCTTGTACTCCTCCAGCTTCTTCTGTAGGGATATTCTTATTCTTGGCCATTGCTCTGCGGGTGGCAGACTGAGGCACTTGCATACTTGGTGCCCATATCCCTCAGGTAGTCCTTTATGATGTCACAGTCAAATTGGCACCCATGATCAAAGACTATGCACTGTGGCACCCCAAATCTAGTGATGATGTTCTTCCATATAAATGTTCTAACCTGGGTTGCCTTTATGTACTTGGTGAGCTCAGCTTCTATTCACTTTGTAAAGTAATCTACTGCCACAATGAGATACTGCCTGCCCGCTGACCCAGTGGTGAAAGGTCCCAATATGTCCATTCCCCACTAAGCGAACGAGATCGGGCTGAGGATTGGAGTCAGATTGTTTGCTGGCTGATTTATGACTGGTGAATATTTTTGACACTTATTGCATTTTTTAAAATATGCTAGTGCGTCTTGCGTGAGAGTTGGCCAATATGCCCCTCTTCTAAGGACCTCTACTCCCAATGCTTTCCCGCCGATATGGTTGGCACATATTCCGGAGTGGGCTTCTTCCATAATGCCCTCTTGCTCCCATTCTGGAATACACCTCAGTAGTGGATTTCAGAAGCCTTTCTTGTTGAGCTCTCCATTCATCACTACATACCAATTTGCGTCTTTCTTCACCTTTTTAGCCTGTACTTCATCATCGGGCAGCGAGCCATGAAGTTTGTACGCCAAGATGTCTGAGAACCAGGCTCTCTGACTCCCAACGTAGTTTACCTGCTCCTTTTCAGCGAAGCTGCTTTCCTCTAACACTTCGACCATCACTGTTCTTGTGAGGCTTTGTAAGGTGGAGCTGGCTAACTTAGATAAGGTGTCAGCCTGAGAGTTTCCTACTCTGAGGACCAAGTTTATCTGGAAATGGACTAGATGGGCTGCCAGTTCTTTCACTTTGGTTACATATTTCATCATAGTGGCTTCCCTTATCTCATACGCCCCCTACAGTTGGCTGGCAACGAGCTGAGAATCAGTCTACAGGTGTACTTTGCGGGCTCCGACTGCGAGGCTCATACGCAGGCCTGCCAGCGTCGCCTCGTACTCTGCTTCATTATTAGAAGCTTTGAACTTGAACCTGATGGCATACTCAAATACGTTTCCTTCTGGAGACGTCATTATGACTCCAGCCCCACTCCCCGTTTGGGCTGAGGATCCATCCACTTCCACCTTCCAGACCCCAATGTCATCTTCTTTCTCCTTATAGGAGGCTTCCACTATGAAGTCTGCTAAAGCTTGTGCCTTGATGGATGCTCTAGGCTTGACCTCAAATTCATACTCAGAAAGATCGATTTCCGACTTTAAGAGTCTACCCGATGCATCCATCTTTTGTAATGCTTTCTCCAGCGGGTGGTTTGTGAGGAACTCTATTATATGCGCGTCAAAATATGGTTTTAGCTTTCTTGCTGATGTGACCACTGCGAAGGCTAGTTTTCTACCAGGGGGTATCTTTGCTCTGCCTCGGTCAGCACGTGGCTCACGAAATATATCGGCCTTTGTTGCTTTTGTCTTTCTACCAACAGAACGGCTGCGATTGTCTGTATTGACGCTGAGATGTACAACTGTAGTTTTTCCCTCAGCTCCGGGCTGATCATTGTTGGGAGCTTAGTTAGATGCTCCTTAATACCCTCAAAGGCTTCTTTCTCCTTAGTCCCCCACTTGAATTCTCTGTTTCCTTTCAATAGCTGATAGAATGACAAGGCTTTGTCTGCTGACTTGCTGATGAATCTGGTCAGTGCGGCCATTCTGCTTGTCAACCGCATGATATCTTTGATGCTCTTAGGCTTAGGCAGACTAAGGACTGCTTCCACCTTTTCTGGGTTGGCATCTATTCCTCTCTCGCTGATCAGAAAACCCAAGAACTTTCCTAAGCTCACTCCAAAGACACATTTCTTCGGGTTGAGCTTGATTTCATACTTGTTCAGGGTGGCAAATGTTTCCTCCAGATCCATGATATGTCCAGCCTGCGTGACACTCTTAACAATTGAGTCGTCAATGTATACTTGGACATTTATTCCCTTTTGGTGAAGGAACACTCTATCCATTGCCTACTGAAAAGTTGCTCCAGCGTTCTTCAGCTCGAAGGGCATAACTATGTAATTATACACTCCCCTTTCGGTAATGTATGTAGTTTTCTGCATGTCTGGCTCGTGTAGGCTGATCTGATGGTACCTTGAGAAGGCGTCCATGAAGCTTAGCAGGGCGTGCCCGCTGGTTGAGTCTACAAGTTGATCTATCCGTGGCAGTGGCTAACAGTCCTTCGAGCAGGCCTTATTAAGATCCGTGAAATCAACACACATTCTCCGTTGGCCATTTGCCTTCTTCACCATGACCACGTTGGCTAACCATTCTGGATAGTCACGGGGTTCAACAAATCCTGCTTCCATGAGGTTTTCCACCTCTTCCTGGATTGCCTGGTTTTTCTCCGCGGAGAAGCTTCGCTTTTTCTGCCTGACTATCCTAATATCCTCCTTCACATTCAGCCTATGCACCATGACTGCTGGGTCAATTTCGGGCATCTCATCTGCAGAAAATGCAAAAATGTCTTTATTCTTTCTCAGCAGCTCTATGAGGTGCACCCCTACTCCTGGATCAATGTCTTTCCCAATTTTCACCGTCTCGAGGGATCACCTTCTGTGAGCTCGACTGTGACATGCTCCCCGCTGGGAAGTGGTCTGGCCATTTCTTCTTTTGCAGGCTCGAAGTTTTCCATTGCCAACTTCTGTTTATGTTTTTCCTTGTGATACTCTTCACGCTTCCTTTTCCTCGACTTCCTCTCACGTTTCTCAGGGAGCCTTCTCTCGGAACCGGACTGCTGTCTAGTTTTGGCAGGCTGCTTTAAGGCAGTTATGTAACATTGTTGGGTTGTCTTCTGGCTTCCACTGAGCTTTGCTAACCAACCCTCATTATTTGTGTAAGCCATGGCCAGGTGGTAAGTGGATACCACCCCGCCTATCTTGTGGATGAGCGGTCTTCCCATGATTACATTGTAGGGTGAAGGGGAGTTTATCACGAGAAATTCTGCTTGGACATCACGCCTTCTTGACCTCTCTCCTACCCGGACTGAGAGTTCGATTATGCCTTTTGGAGTAAGCCTTGAGCCATTAAACCCGGTGACCTCGTAGTTTACTCTCTTCAGGTCTTTTCTGTCCAACTTCAGCTCATTGAACGCACTGATGTATATGATATTGGCTGAGCTGCCTCCGTCTATCAGTATTTTATCTACCTCCCAGTTTGCAATTCTCATTGTCACCACCAGCGGGTCATCATGAGGGTAAATTATGCCCTTTTGGTCATACTCGTCAAACGTGGCTCGTGGCTACGGGGGAAGAGGTGGCCATCTACGCTTATCATTGTAGTTTATTTGATGTATCATTGTCTGCAGGTCAGCCCGCGCTCTATTAACTGTGCCCCCATGTACTAGACCCCCGCTGATCACGTACACCCTGCCCTCTGGCTTGCCATCTCTATCCTTGTCTCCAGCTGGGCCCCTGTGACCTCCTCTGCGGTCAGTTCAGCCCGCTTTATCCTCCTCCCTTCTTCTGGGAGGGTCATCACGCTGCTTAAATTGACTCAAGTATCCTCTCCTGACTAAGTCCTCTATGTTGTCCTTCAAGTGCGTGCATTCTTCAGTGGTGTGGCCATAGTCCCTGTGAAAGTCACACCACTTACTGGTATCACGACTCCTGTTTACCATCCTTGGAGGCCTCTGCCACTTATAATCAGCCTTATTTACGCTGAATATGTGAGATCTGGAATGGGTTAGTGGGGTATACTGATTTAACTTCCCAGGCCTTGGCCCTCTCCTTGGATCGGACCTTCTCAGTCCCACTGCCCTGTCCGCTTCTCTGTAGTTTTGCTCATCCCTGCTTGGCTGGTCCACCCAGGGTGTGTTCTCTGCCCGGGTGACCTCTGCCCGCTTAACTGAGTCACCTGTTGCTTTCCTACCCAGCATTGCTATGTCAGTCTTGTCTGCTTTGATGAACTCATGCGCTTTACCCAGCACTTCGGCGAGCGTTTTGAGGCTCTTACGCCCCACATATGCTTTGAATGGCAGTAGGCAACTCTGCATTGCTAACAGCGCTACCTCCTGGCTCATATTTGGAATGGTTGCCTCCTTGTTGAATTTGGTGATGAACTCCCTCAGGGGCTCATCCTTTCCCTGAACCAGGCACATCAGCTCGGTTGTCATCTTGGTTCTGTCCACCAAGGTTATGAAATGCTCCATGAACATTCTCTTCAGCTGGTTGTACGAGTATACAGAACATTTGGGGATGGCGCCATACCATTTCGCTACCAGCCCCTCCAGAGTTGGTGGGAAAGCCTTACACCAGACTGAGTCTGTCATGGTGTAGAGTACCATATGATTCTCGAAAGCTGATATGTGGCTTTTGGGTGTTGTGGTTCCATTGTACTTGCAGCTCGGCATCTTCACCTTCTTTATGGGTTCTTCCAGAATCTCCCGGAAAAATGGGGAATCATCTGGAACAACCTGGATTCGCGCTCGTTTGTCTCTCTCTGAGCTGGGTCCTCGCTCTGCGGTCAGTGACCTACTGCGAGGGACCCGCTTCTCCGAGCTGATTCGAGCGGGGGTTATTTTCTTCACGCACCATTCTCGATTCAGGTTGCGAGCTTCCAGCTCCAATACCTTTTTCCTCAGCTGAATGAGCTCTTTCTGCTCGGGGGTGAGAGTTGAGACTTCCGGCTTTTCCGTTGCCATTGTCGGTGATAGGCTTTCCCCCTTACCCATATTGGTAAGGACCGCTGTCATTACAGCCAGCTGCTCCTTGCTGCACTTAGAGAGGTTCTACAGAATGGCTGGCATATTTACGGGCTGCGGTTTCTGGGTTATAGGTGCTAAAACAATAAGCTCATTGTTCGCGCTTGTTAACGACAATCCGTACTTGAAAATAGAGCTGGATCCTACCGGATCTACTGTAATACCCCGTATTTTTATGTATTTTTATAAAGTATTTAAGTATTAATAAAATGTATTGTCAAGGGTTAAAGTATTTTAAATATAAAGTTTTAAAAAAATAAAATATGTTTTGGGCCAAACGTTTATTAATTATTTGGCAATGTAATTCCTATATACTCTTATTGGAATAACCCATTCCAAAACCCATAACTTATGCCCTATCCCATAACTCAAGCCCACATTTTTATAAGCCCAAATTTAACCCTACACTTTATACTCTATAAATACCCCATGAATCCCCAAAAATTTCCCACACAAAAAGGTTAGTCTTATTTTCTCTCTCCTTTGTTTTATTAATTTGTGTAATTATAATTATTGATTTGTGGGTTTTAATTTTATTGTTTAAAATTAATTTAATTAGTATCAAATTGTATTTTGATGATTAAACTTTATAATTTTCAGATTTTGTAAATTTTATAACCTAGGGTTTTTAATTATTGAAAATCATGATTTTAGGGTTTTTATGAATAATTGATTTAGGGCTTTTATAGTAATGATGTTTTGAAATTTTGGTGATTATAACTACTTATTAGTTTAACTTAATTCCAGATTTACTTTGAACACGCAAATTCATGTTTTAATAATTAGATTTCCGTTCATTAAATATTAATCTCGTTTTAATCCCGATCAGATTCTAAACTCCTCCGATTTTGATAAAAAAGTAGTGTTTTTCGAGTGGATAATTTAGCCTCTAAATACGATTTTCGAGCAGTTTTTGAGTTTTAACGAAGTTTTTTTTTTATGCTATAAATTTTATCTTTGAATTTAAAAGGGGTAAGATATAATTTAATGTTTTTATGGATAATTTAAGTATAAAGATGTATTTTGATGAAGTTTTAAAGAATTTTTGATTAGTTTAAAATGTTGGAATTTTATTTAAAGTAGTATAATTATGATTTTTAATAAAAGGGTGTGATTATCCATTAAAAAGGAGTTTAATTAGGAGTTTTTGAATAATTTTAAGATTATTATAAGTTATTTAAAGTGAGTTTAAGTTGCTGGAAATTGTGTATACAAGGGTAATTAATATAGTATTATTGTCCCTTTGTGTAGGAGACTTGGTTCGAGAATTGTTGTAGAGTACTCGGTTATGTTAAGAGCTTATTTGAGGTACGTACGCGTACTTAGCATATTTTGTTGATGTAGAATCATGCTAGGTTTGTTTATAATTGATTATAAGTAGAATCATGCTAAGGTTTATGTATGGAATTGTGAATTTATGGTGTTTGTGATTGAATTGTGAAGCATGAATTATTTGTGATGGTTTTAGATTGGAAGATTATATTTTGGGCATGTTGCGTTTGACACCACAATTTTATTTATGGCATGTTAGAAGTCATGATTAATTAAACTACATGTTTAATTATGTTTGGGATATTAAAAAGGAATTTTATTATGGTTCAAATAATTTTTATTGATGCTTAAAGCATGAGGAAGGAGCTATATAAGTGTCTATGTACACAAGGAATAAATTGTATGTTGGTGCCTTTGTGCACTTAAGGTGTTTTTAACACCGAGGGATAGGATTTTGGCGCTTTATGCGTTTAAGGTGTCTTTGACACTGAGGTAGAATTAAAAAGGATTCAACAATAAATAATATGTGGTCACTAATTATTGAAGAATTTAAATTGGTATGTGTGTTGATTAAATAATTATTGTTGATTGCCTTATTATTCTTGAGAGTCATCACCAAGTCTAATAATATATAAATAACGTAAAGTGAAAGAGATTACGCACCAAAACTCTTGGAATATATATACCTTGAGTATGAACAATGGGGCGGAGTTATGGGGTTTTATATTTAACCATAACTTCCAATGGAGTACAGGACGCTGTATATTCCTTTTTTATTAATTATTATTGTGCGCAGGAATTCCGCCACCTTTGTGTGGTTTTGTCGCTAGCACGGTTAGCTCCCGTGCCTGTTAACCTCAAATTTATTTGGGGAAGGTTAATAGGTGGAAACCCGTTCGATGCGTACTCAATGCAAAATGAATTAATTAGGGTCTAGTCATTTTATTGTGTTGATTGGTGGTTTTGTGAACAGGTGCAATGAGGTAAGTGTGTGTTGATAGGTGAAAGCATGTTAGTGTGGCTATTTTACGCTTATGTACTCAGCTTTGTTGATTGTGTGTGTTTGTGTTTTGGCCATGTCTTTACCTTGGCCCTATGATGACCCATTTTTAATGGAGAGTAGTGGAAACAAGTAGAGATAAACTTTTCAGGTATTGAAGCATGATCATGATGGGGCATGAGTGAAGAGTGAATCCTATTAGTTTTCATTAGATTACAATGTGTTTTATGGTTTATTTATTTATGATATATTATGTGTGGACTAACATAAAGGTTTGATTTGGTAACGGTTTTTTGAATAAGGGCCTTTAATGGTTCCAAGTTGTAGTTTTATTTTATTTGATTTGGTCATTTGTTTTTAAACTTTATTTTCGTTTGGTTGACTTTGGGTTGACTTGTTTAATCGGTTTTTAATTTCGAGTCTTCCGTTGTGTATCTTTGATAATTGCCTTAGCCGTTTTCACGGTGGCAGTAATGTCTTAGTTATTCCTAAATTGTATTTTTTTTAAAAGAGTAGAATGAGTATTTAAAGAAAGGAATTTCTAGGGTGTTACATCTACTGGTTTCGCCGCTGCTTTAGCAGTGGATGATGTCGATCCGATGGGGTTGGATTTCTGTGAGATGGTCGATTTGGGGTTTCCGGTGGATCCTTTTGGATCGCTGGTTATTGGGGGTGTTTTTTGTGGTGTTTGGCTGGTCTCATTAGTTTTGGACGTGGGTGTTTGTACAGTTTCTTCTCCGGCCATGGTGGTTAGTTAACTAGTCCCTAGCTCAGTTGGTGAACCTCAGGTTAGATGATCCTAACCCCTCCTTCTAGCGCCAATTGTTCCAGGTGTGGATCCAAGGGTTTTTCTTGGTGAGCTGGGTCCCGTCAACAACCTACACAAGGCAGCACACGTAAACTGCCCTCGGGGGTGGCTCGAGGAACCCCCTCCGAAGCTTAAGTTAGAGAGTGTTTTGAGAGAGATCGAAAGTGTACTTAGAGATATGTAGAAAGTATAATATCTTGAGTGTCTAACCTCTTTTCCGTTGTACTTTACACTCTATTTATAGGCGTACTATCTCCTTCGCGGAGAGTTTAGCCTGGTCAGCCCTGCGGGCTGACTCTGCCGGGCTGATGAGCCCTCCTTTAGTTGTTTATTCGGCGGTGAGTGTGCACCCCGGGGGCTGGGCGATAGTTCAGCGGGAGCTATCCTATACAACTGCTTTTTTTTTTTTTAATAAAATAATAATGTAGGGTTAAAGGATATAAATACTATCAAATAAGATAAGAAAATAAAATTTAAAGTATACAACTTTAATTTTGTAATTTGTAAAATCATAAAATACACGGGTATTACAATCTACCCTCCTTAAAACAAGTTTCGTACTCGAAACTTAGAGTTAGGAAAATAATTTGTAAATTTGAAAGGGAGTAAAAAACTAAACCAAACTTTTCTTTATAAAATATATAGATAGAGTACTAAAATATTAAGGGTGTTACATACTCTCCCCCTTAAAAAGGAGTTCGTCCCCGAACTCAAAGTTAGTCACATAAAAAAAAAAAGCATAACAAACACAAGCACATAGAGAATCACTCTTGAAACGAACGGCTTAACCTATGTTAATTATGATCCTAGCTCTTAATTAACAGGTTCATTCCTAAAAAACCACGCTGGGATATGAAGATCCCTGCGTAAATCCCACGAGCGATTAGGCTCAGATACCATTTTGTAAAACCCCAGATTTACTAACTGAAAAATAAATAAAAATTAAAGGAAAAATAAACAACCTTTAAATAAAATTGCAGAAGCATACTCCTAAATCGGAGGTATTACCGCCACACTCAACAACCTGTCCAGCGTTAAGGCTTACAAAACTCCCAATAAATACAACCCAATAATCTAGGTGAGCTATTTACAACTTTACAAATCGTTATAGCATACTTATCGATCATTTGAGCTCCCTTTAGCTACGATCACTTGATCAAACCTGCTTATACAAACTTGACTGCTCACCATTAAGGACAAATTCCAAAATAGATCGTCGCAGGGCCACCATAAGAAAAAGACATGACCGCAAACACAAGTAGCAAAACAAAATAACACACACGTCAGCAAAAAAGCTGAGTAATCACCACATATCATAATACAAAGAATAATAAAATAATTAACATTACTAGATCAATTAAACAATATAGTTCAAAACTACATTACACATTGTACTCTGAAAATAACCTTTATCAACTCAACCTCGAATAATAGTACGAACTTTTACTCAATTAACTCATATAACCCATAAGTGTGCCATGCTCTTTGTTTTATACCTAGCCTTGGACATGGGTAATTCGAATAAAACTCACAAGTTGAATACTCCTAATAACCAGAAAACACCTTGAACCAGACCACATACGGGTCAATTCCCACTGTAGGGGACCATAGAAAAATAAATAATAAAGATTGTACCTCATTCTTAACTCATGATCATTATCCCATTACCAACAAGCCAAGGACTAAGGTCTATAACGTCGAGCCTCAAACCAATAACTAAATAATAATCTCAACCTTTTTTATCTCATACATCGATCAAATAATCATAAACTTGATAATAAATAGTATCTCAATAATGGCACGAGTTCCCAAATAATATGAAAATTCGATTCATAATATCTCAACTCTTAAAAAAAACAC